TGGATTCACTAACAAGACACAGACCGTACACTGAAAATACCACACCATGTAACTGATACCCTTTGACGCCAGGAGGACCGTAGCCTAGTACAAAAATGGTAGGTTTCAAGGGCTGTTATGCTCTTTTGTGTGCCATTGATAGTCTTGTACTTCAGCATTATTTATGTCCTTCAGTACGTCTCATCTGGCTTCATTCTGGTAACAAGATTGAGGTCAATTTAACATAGGATATAAGGGCTTAAATGTGTTCTGGTTACAGGTGGGCAATATGATATATATATATTTTATCTTTATTGTGATAAATGACCTGATGCCTGAGCATATCAAGGATATCGCCACTGAGTAATCATTAGTAGTTTTTGACAGTATTCGTTTATACTTTGAATGTGGCAATACTGAAGCTTCTTTGTTTGTCTTTTCCACTAATCCAAAACCTAATATATGATATAAGTATCATGATATTGCATGTTTGCCTTTTCGCCTGCCCCTAATTCTGGTAAAGACTTTATTTAGTTTTAAACCTGTATTCTGGTGAAGACTTCATTTAGTTTACAAACCCAATTCCAAAAAAGTTGGGACAGTGTGTGAAATGCAAAGAGAAAAGGCAGTGATTAGTACATGCACTTTAACCCGTACGTTCCTCAACGAGCGCTTGCAAGGATTTTAGGTATTTTATCCTCTACGGTGCATAATATTAACAAAAGATTCAGTAAATCTGGAGACGTTCAGGGAACTCCAATTCCCAGAAGCCCTTGGGCTGATTAGGACCAACCTGGCACACCTGTGGACTCCTCTACTTAAGGCTGTGGCAAACAGCAGCCCTTTGTCACACCTTTGTAGAGGAGTGACTGGTATAGTACTTAGCCCAGGTGAGTATTTAAAGGAAAAAAAAGAAAAAGAGGAGAGGAAAGGAAAGGAGAGGAGAGGAAAGGAAAAGAAAAGAAAGGAAAGGAAAGGAAAGGAGGCTGGGAAAAAAAACCAAACGAGAGAAATTGCCCCAAAACTACTTAAAAACTAAAAGAAGGCTTGAGCAAGAAACTGCTCCAAGCCATACAAATGATGTTTGCTTCTTAAAGAGCAAACAGGTGAAACAAAGTCTACCTTTCTCTCATAATCACAGAGGAAGTATTTTTTGTTTTCTGACCTTTTTTTATTTCACTTTTCTATTTCAGCCTTTTTGCCTTTTTCCCACCTTTTTTATTTCCCATTCGTTGGTGTTTTTCCCGTTTTCGCCTGTGCTTCCCGGTGGCACAGCGGTAACTCCCCGGACCGCCAATCAGCCCATTGGCGGTTCGATCTTGGCTCTGAGCCACCTGAACTCCAACATGCACAACGACCAAATTCGCACTCCATCACCTCAATAAACTCATTTAAAACCCTTTCTCATGGTTTTTCCGCCCTGCCGTCCCATAACATCTCTGTGCATAAAAGAAAAGGACAAAAACCACAACTGAATGCCCATCACCTTTGACCCCTCAGATGGCACTGCATTAGAAACCCGCATGCTTCTGTGACGGACGTAACTGCTAGGGCTCTGGAACACTTTGACAAACCCTTGTCAATAAACACTGTTTGTTGCTGCATCCACAAACACAAGTCAACAACGTCCAAAAACTCTGCCGAATTCTGGACCCAAGCTCATCTGAAATGGACTGATGTGGAAATGTGTATTGTGGTCTGATGAAGCAACTTTTCAGATTGTTTATGGAAATAATAGATATTGCGTTGCCATCCTTTTCAGGGACGCCCATGCTTATTTTCACATGACAACGGCAAGAAACATTCTGCACACTGCAACAGCATGGCTCTGCATGCAATCAAAGAGGCTGGGCACTAGACTGGCCTGCCTGTCTTCTATTGAAAACATGTGGTGCATTATGGAGTGCAAAATGTGACAACAAAGGCCCTGTGTGGTTGTGCAGCTGAAGACTTGTACAAATGAAGAATTGGTAAAAAATCCACTTTTAAAACTGGATCTGTTGGTGTCTTCAGTTTCCAAATGTTTATTAAGTGTTAAAAGGAAAGGTGATGTAACACAAGATAAAACATCAAACATTGTTCTGTATTGCTCTCGATTTAATACAGGTCAAACAGAAATCATAGCTTTCTGGTTTTACTGGCATTTCACATTCTGTCCCAATTTTTTTAGAATTGAATTTGTAAAATCCTAGTAAGTAGTAGGAAATGGTTCCATAACTGTTATTCAATCATTCGTCTTTCACCTAGAGCTGGTTTCACCTAGTTGTCAGCTGTTGTCGGGTATTAAATGAAATGTAAACCAAAAATTTTAAGCCACAAAAAACAGCCCATTGACAGAATGTTGATAGGCTGAGATCTTAAAAGAACAGTTCATTTAACAATGTTAATATTACAAATAACAAACATATTAGTAGATCGAAATGGGTACTGGTGTTAGGCATTCCTTTGACAAAACAATCCCTTCTTTTCCCCATCTTTGGATGATCCTATGCCAGAAGAGACTGAGCAACAGGCATATGCTCATTTGAACTGTAGATTGGCATAATCAAAGGCTGTGAGCTTGTGGTTATGGCTATTTTTTAGATTTCTTGCTTTAAAGACATGATTCCCAAATCTGTCCTTTATGACCCCCAGGCTAACCATGCTTGTTCAGCACTTATTTTTTTCACCCAGGTACCAAAGATGGCTCAGGATTCAATGGGACTTGGGTCAGAAATGACTGCTCTGAAGGACTGTAGAGAATTCTGAGAGCCCGGCTGCTCAGCTCGGTGAAAAACAGCAGATGGAGAGCAAAGCAGGAGGGAGCCATTTAGCACATCCAAATGCAATGCTAGAGTAGAGCAATGCACTGAGCTGCTTCCTGTACGAACATTCAGCCTTAGAGATGCAGTAGGACAAAATCCAAAGAAAAATTACTTTTGCACTTATATGCAGTCTTACTGTCTTCATTTCATTTAAAACTACTATTGGGCTTACACCATACAGTATAATGTACATCAAAGGTGTTCAAGTGAAGACTATATATGTAGTAAAGCCATATGCATAATGACTGTTAATTTCAAGTTTGCTAATTACCGTTTCAACAAACTGATTCTAGGACTCTTATGCATATAGGGTATGGTATAATGAGGGTATATTTAACATCCCATGGGTAACAACACAGCAAAATATACTTAAGTCCAACAAACCAAACAAAAGCAGTTATGACTCTTGAAGACAAAAATATTATGAGTTTCTTTAAATAGCTGATGTTTAGTGAGCCACGCAACGCCTACAGTGAAGAGCTATTGCAAGCTAATTCACCCTTGTATAGAAGCAAGCTGTAATTCTACAATTCTCTTGCATTGTTCAGAGAAGTGTCTGTCTGTGTGTGTGGGTGGGTGGGTGGGTGTTGGGGGAAGGTGGGGAGTAGAGGTCCTGGGAGACTTTCTACTGTTTATTATGTAAACTTCGCTGTTAAACTCACTACCTGATCAGCAAATACCAACCTGACAGTAATTATCACCACTACAGCCACCAACATTCACCACAATATAAAGAGAACATCTAAACTGAATAAAAGAACACTCAGACAAGACACACAAAACTGCACAGGCACAATACATTTACGCTCCTACAGTTGCGCGAAAGGTTTGGGCGCCCATGGTTAAATTACCTGGTACACTTATTTGATTGTGTAAATGAATATACATTCACTGAGCTCTTTATTAGGTACACCTCCTTCTATTTACACTCTTTGTCCATTTTACCAACTCCACTTACCATTTAGGTGCACTTTGTAGTTTTACAATTACAGACTGTAGTCCATCTGTTTTGTGCATAATTTATCTCACATTTACCCTGTTCACCAATGGTCAGGACCCCCACAGGACCTCCACAGAGCAGGTATTATTTAGGTGGTGGATCATTCTCAGCACTGCAGTGACACTGATGTGGTGGTGGCATGTTAGTGTGTGTTGTGCTGGTACAAGTGGATCAGACACAGCAGTGCTGCTGGAGTTTTTAAACACTGCGTCCACTCACTATCCACTCTATTAGACACGCCTACCTTGTAGCTTCACCTTGTAGATGTAAAGTCAGAGACGATAGCTCATCTGCTACTGTACAGTTTGTGTTGGTCATCCTCTAGTCCTTCATCAGTGGTCACAGGACACTGCCCACAGGCCGCTGTTGGCTGGATATTTTTGGTTGGTGGACTATTCTCAGTCCAGCAGTGACACTGAGCTGTTTAAAAACTCCAGCAGCACTGCTGTGTCTGATCCACTCAGACCAGCGCAACCCACACTAACACACCACCCCCACATCAGTGTTACAGCAGTGCTGAGAATGATCCACCACCCAAATAGTACCTGCTCTGTGAAGGTCCATGGGGGTCTGGACCACTGAAGAACAGGGTAAAAGGGGGGCTAACAAAGTATGCAGAGAAACAGACAGACTACAGTCTGTAATTGTAGAACTACAAAGTGCATCTATATAGTAAGTGGAGCTGATAAAATGGACAATGAGCATAGAAACAAGGCCTGATTGGTGTATGTCAGTACTGTCGTGTGTGTGTGTGTGTGTGTGTGTGTGTGTGTGTGTGTGTGTGTGTGTGTGTGTATATATATATATATATATATATATATATATATATATATATATATATATATATATATATACACACATGAAAAATACTGGATAACAGCATCGGCCCACTTCCCAGTTCCATATCTGTGTATCTCTAATTATTAATGATAATACAGTCTGATCTTTACAGCTCTGGCCTGTGTGTATAGTGAATACTGTACTGCTACTCTACTCTACAGTACTCTATTGGTCTATATGGACTAATAGTAAGACCAGGCATAGATTTGTAAACAAACACAAGCCTATTAGTCCCAGTGTACCAGAACAGCAGCCTACAAGAACACTTATAATAGTAGAGTTCATGACTGACGTTCCTTGCTTCAGGTCAGGACGTTCAAACCACAGAAGCAGCCTAGTACTCACAGACACACAGTAGCCTAAGGACATGAACATACCCGGCACTGCTGGCCTGGCGGAGACCCCTCGCGCCTTCCGCGGGCGATAGTTGAGCGAGTCCTCTGGAAGAACGAAGCTGTGGCCGCCCTCGACCCCCCTCAACCCATCCTTACTGCATACAGACAAAGTTAGCAAGAACAATAACGCAGGAAACGAGAACATGGCGATGAAAAATGGAAAAAGGGAGACATAACTGAGAGAGTGAAGCTACTGAAGACTACAGTCCCTCCCTGAACTCCCTGAATTCTCCATGTGGAGAGCCTGAGGGGAAGATAAAAGCCCTGCATACACAGCCTGAGCAGGAACACATCCCAGTTCATTCAGAACAGGGAGGGAGGGAGTGTGGAGGGCGAGGGGATTATATGATGCCACCTTCTGGTTAAATCATGAAACTACACCCGAGTGAAGCACACCAGTGCGATTTAGAGCCCATGTCCTACATTTTCCTTCTGTATCTCATTCTTTCCCAATCATGCCTTATGTAATGGCTGTTTTTAATGTGCTTTTATGGCTGATGTAAGATAAATGAGTTTGGTTCGGAGTGGCTGTCCTGTATTATGCCTCATTCAAAAAAGCACTCTGAAGTAAAAACACTGCTTAGAACTTCAGCGTAAATGGGCGGAGCTAAACTGATGTTGGCTGAAAAGGTGCATTTATTGTAGCGTCATGGCGAAAAAGGAGCCGCAGGAGAGGCCGTGATTTCTGCTGTGAGAGATGCTCTTCATTACCTGTTCGGTAAGAACGAAGGCCCAGCAAAGACAACCTTGTCACACAGTTGTCTACTTTCTTTTATACAACAGTTAGTTCCGGCCACGCAAGCTGATTGGTTGAGAGGCGTTCTAACTGTGCTGATATTTCGCCATAACATCACGGGTTTTTCACAAACACTATCACTCCGCTAAGGCGCCGTTGCTAAGCAACGAGTTTGACAGCTGTAGGAGACGCTCAAGCCGTTTGAACGTTTTTACTTCTCACTTTGCGCACAAACAGAAAACGGACGCTTAAGATCGCATTTGACGGACAGCTATAAAACTGCCGCAATAAAAAAACAAAACAACTGCTCAGTGACAGTTTCTGAATTTAGTGTAAGGAGCTGAACGAACCGCCGGCTGTGCAGCGAGTGAGCGGAGCTCGTTACTCTGACGTAGCAACAAGCTGCTTGTTAAGGAACTATAATTTGGCGGAAGGAACTGCGAACATTAAAACATATTAAATGCCGCGTTCACGACCCAGTTTATTAATTTCTCACTTTATTTATTTAACTGGTGTATAAAAGCAATAGAACACTCGAGGTCGTGTGTTATCGCTATAACATCACGGCTGTGATGATCTACCAAATCAGAGCCAGGAATAATCTTCCTGTTAATGTTCGGGACTCAGACACAGCCTCAGTGTTTAAGTCTAAGCTAAAAACTTACTTGTATAGTCAAGCCTTTGGTAATTAGTTTTCTCTGTCAGTTCTATACCTGCCAGAGTCTCTGCTGCTCTGCTAACACTGTAATCTGTGATCAGTCACCCATTACAGAACTGACTCTAAACCTCACCCTCACAACCTGACTCCACTGATGCTGCTGATGCTGCTGCTGCTGCATGAACTAAACTAATCAAATTAATCATTTGCTCCACCTGTTTTCCCTGTTTTTGTACTATAATACTTTATACTAACAATGTTTACTATCTGGTGTCGACCAGAGGAGGATGGGTTCCCCTTCTGAGTCTTGGTTCCTCTCAAGGTTTCTTCCTGTTTCTTAGGGAGTTTTTCCTCGCCACTGTCGCCACTGGCTTGCTCATGGGGGCTTGGACCCGGATTTCTTTCTGTAATGCTGATTTCCTTGTAAAGCTGCTTTGTGACAACACCTGTTGTAAAAAGCGCTATATAAATAAATTTTGCTTTGCTTTGCTTATTTCGTGACAACACAATCCCTCTCGTGTTCTATTGCTGAAACAACGTCGCTAACGTTGTCAAAAGTTACGCTGTCTCAACAAGGTTGTCACAATGTCGTCACAACCTCATTATTAAGTGACGTTGTCCGATGGTATTATGACTACCTATTGATAGTCACAGTCGCGCTGCCACCATTTTGGTAGGCAACTTTGAGCTCATTCAGCTGTGCTGTGGCTGTTAGTAATGAGATAACAACCCAAGGTTGTCTGCTTTTTTACAATGTTGTTTCAGTGTTGTCAAAAGGTGGTCACAACGTAGTAGTCACAACCTCATTTATTACATCATTATTAGTCTAGGCTAAAAACTTACTTGTATAGTCAAGCCTTTGGTAATTACTTTTCCCTGTCAGTTCTATACCTGCCAAAGTCTCTGCTGCTCTGCTAACACTTTAATCTGTAATCAGTCGCCCATTACAGAACTGACTCTCAGTTCTGTCAGTCACCCATTACAGAACTGACTGTGTGTTTTTCCTTTCTTTCGTTTCCTTTGCTGAGTTGAACAGCTGCCCATCCGGTTCATTCTGATGCTGATGCCTCTCTGCCTTGATCAGTTGCCACTGCTCGCCAGCCCTCTGGACCGGCTTGACCACCATCAAGCTCCATGCTGTACTACGCCGTGCAAACCTCACCCTCACAACCTGACTCCACTGATGCTGCTGCTGCTGCTGCTGCTGCTGCATGAACTAAACTAATCAAACTAATCATTGCTCCACCTGTTTTCCCTGTTTTTGTACTAACAATGTTTACTATCCGGTGTCGACCAGAGGAGGATGGGTTCCCCTTCTGAGTCTTGGTTCCTCTCAAGGTTTCTTCCTGTCCCTAGGGAGTTTTTCCCTTGGATAAAACCTATTGGCTTTGCTTTCTAATGGGAATTGGCTTAAAGGTTTCCAAAAACACTAATTACCTGTAAAATACTTTTTGATCCCATTAGGAAACCATCAAGTGCATTTTAGAATCAACAATTGGTCACCTGTTAAACCATTAGGATCCTTTACAATGTGATGTCAACCCATTTAAAAAGGCCAAATCACATTACAAAACTACAAGGAACCAACAAACACTTAATGGTTTCTATGTTTTTTTTTGCGGCCGGGCATCGTCAGTATATTGTCACAACCTCCTAGAATCCCTTATAAGTTTCATGTTTTGCATGGAGCTCCAGAGTTTTGCTCAGTTGCCAATAGGTAAAGCCACAACCCAGCAAAAGTAGTAAAACACATTTTTAAACACTTTTTTTTATTGTGTTTAAATGTATTGATTTGATTTGTTGCTGTAGTGATGACAAACAAAAGCAAAAATCTAAAGGGCTGAGATTTCACACTGCTTTATTTTCACGTCCCAAACCACATACTAGCTCACTAAATAGTATGCAAAAAATAGTACATACACCATTAGAAGTGCACTCATTATTGTAGTAGGTGAAGTACAGATTCAAATAAGAATTTGGCGAATGACAAGCTGACTTGAGCTTCATATATAGCTATGCATTAGTTTATTATTTAAAAGCTTTGGCTATTTATTTTGGTAGCCACTTTTATTAGTTTTTATAAAATCTCACGCACTGGAATGTAAAGAACTCTGAAGAAACACAGGCCATATGAATCCAGTCTACCAGTTTAGCTAATCTTCTCCTCGTAGCGTTTTCTGGAGACTACATTTAAAGTGTCCACATATCTTCATCTTTTTCATGGTCATTTTGCTTGGTTTTTTAATCCTCCTGCAGGGTTGTAGATTGTACAGATGAGGGTTGTAGAGATGAGACGAGCTCTTTCAGAGCACAGTCAGAGCTGCAGCGCCTACCAACATGGCAGCGTGGTCTTCTTAACGACGTAATAGAATATTATGAATTGGCCACTTAGCAAAATTACATGGAGTTCCATGCACAACATAATGGAATTTATGAGGATTGTAGGAGGTTGTGACAGCGTACTGACAATGTTGCTTTGATGTTGTCAGTGTTCTCCCTGCTGAAAAACCCATAGAAACCATTAAGTGTTTCTGTTGGTTCTAATGGTTTTGTAATGTGTTTTGGCTTTTTAATGGGTTGATATCACAGTGTAAAGGATCCTAATTATTTAACAGGTGACCGATGGCTGATTTTCTAAATGCATTTGATGGTTTCCTAATGGGATCTGAAGGTATTCTACAGGAAACTACTTGTCTCTATTGGCTACTATAAAACTACTGGTTTTAATCCTAATTTTTTTTTAATGGGCCTTTTTCAGCAGGAGTCAGATAACAGTGTCACAACTTTCTGAGGAATTACATTTCAACATTGCACAGCACAACACAAAATAACACAACAAACACACATACACATGTTTAACTAATGACCCTAAAGGGTGGGGCCGGAGCACGTGGCATAGTTTTGCATACCATGTCTCCAGTGCCCCTCCTGCAAACTGGAGGAAGTGGGTAGGTTCATATTGAAACTTGAAAAACAATGTTTGTATGTAACTTCAAACTTGGAAGTTCGGTTTTCCATGATATGGGCTCTTTAATGTCTATATCTATCATTAATTTGTGTGGAAATGGCTGCCCTTCAAATGACTAATTTTACATATAACATTTTGCCTTCACCTGTAAAATGGTCTAATATAACTACCTTTTAATATTGATTTCAAAAGATGACCAAACGGTCATTATGGGGATTAATGTGTAGTCTGAATCTGTTTGCTGGATAGTTGTATTCAGACTTTTGCACTCAGAAAAGTCCACACTAAGGCCTGTTGTTACTGATAAACATTTTTAAAGCTTTAACATGTGACCATAGAACTGTTTCAGTGTAATCTCACCAAGCACTTCTTCTGTAACTATAATGGACTAAATCTGCAATAAGAGATGTCCATATTTTTCATTTTAAATGTTTAGTCCTGGCAGATGTTGTTTTATGCTGTCACCGATGTTTTTTGCTACTCCCCAGTCTGTAAAGCTCTGTAAAGCCACACTGAAAAAGAAGCTGGCTAGACATTATTAGCTAGATTAGGGGGGCACCTCTTGTCTTGACCACATCTGATCCAACTCACCAGTTTAGTAGATCTGTTAGAGCTTTTGGACATACCTGGGGTTTGACATTTGGTGCTCCATCATACCACACTCAGCCACTAGGGAGCAACATTGTAACATTTTTCCAGGTACATCAAAAGCTGTTTCTGAATTGGGGTGAACTTCGTTGTTTGATTTATTACAAATGGGCTGTACAGTGGCTACGTCAGCAGTACATATTTCAGCTGTACAGGTGTTTTTTTTGTTTCATCATAAAGAGATGAACCAGCAGAAAAAGCAAACAGCACAGTAGCTCAACAGAGGCCAGTGACGTTCCTGAAGTATTTCCTGTCTTTGC